CGTCTCTGCATGTGGCACTGTGCCTACAAGCGTGTGAGATCGCCCCGATCCTTGTTCAGATCTATTCAGTGAGGCCTTCTGCTTATGAAACGATTCTGTGGTCATTTGTATTGTCGGTTTGCATGTAGTGAGTAGTATAATGGCATACTAGAAATAGCCTTACATTATACTAATAATCTCTGATAATGATGTTTATTCGTGTTATCATTATCATTATAATCATTATTATTGTCTTCATGCCACATCATAATCATTATTATTATCATAGTTGTAGAAGTAGTGGTGGTGTTGCTGGTGGTAGTAATATTACTGTTATCATTATCATAATTATTATTTGCTTATTATTATTGTTATCATTATCATTATCGTGATCAGTATTATCATCATTACTATCATTCTTATTATCTTTACTATTATCATTATTGCTATCATTATTATTTTTGTTATCACTGTTTCATTAGAATTGACCTCATCATCACCATTAGTTCACATTATAGTCACTTTCATCCTTATTGCCAGCAAGATGACCGTAACTATTAACACGAACACCGTCACCCTCACCCATATATCGTGTCCAAGAGCTACTCCCTTCGTCTTTCTTCAGAAGCGAAGGGAAGGAAAGGCAACTAATGAATTATTGTTATTATTATTATTATTATTATTATTATTATTATTATTATCATTATTATTATTAATATTATTATTATTATCATGCAGTGCTTTCAATATGATAAATTTCAAATTTCAACTTTTCCAGACCTCTTGACGCAACTTGACAGCAACAATTACAACTGCAACTGCCCGGAGCAAGCCCAGGTCGATTTCTTCGCCAATCTAATCAGAAATATCCTTGATACAGCAAACTGCAATACCGTGAGGAACGCGTTGCAACTGCAAAACTTACGTTGTTAAAGGTGAACAGTCCAGTTGGTGTGGAACTAAGAAGATGAGAGAGTTTGTTTTTTTTGCTTTTCGTTTTTTTTTTTTTTTTTTTTTTTTTAGAAAGATGAAATAGCGCAAGAATACACAGGCGATTCCCCTGCGCGCCTGAGCATCCAGAAATTTTCAAATGCTTGCCACATATGGTGAAATAAAGGCGGAGAACAGGACGCTGCGTATCATTCCTCCATTTCCTCCTTTCCCTTCAAGTTTTTCTGTTACTTCCTTTTTTCCTTAGTAATTTCCTCTTTTCCAGATCTCTTACGAAACCGAACAAAATGGGAAAGGAAAAAATATACACATATATAAATATATATATATATATATACATGTTTGTGTGTGTGTGTGTCTTTGTGTGTATATATATGCATATATAGATCTATATATTTTTCTCTCTCTTTATACAAATACACATGCATATACATATATATAAACATATATGTCAGCAATTAAGGAATGCCGTATCTGTCTATTTCTTGTTTGTTGTTATGGCGATTGCAGCTGTGGTTTGTCCTCCGAACATTCTTGTTAGATCTTTCTTTTGTGTTTGTGTGTGTGTTTTCCTTGCACATCTAGAGCATCATATTCCAGGCCTCCTTCCCTTATGACATGACCAAAAAAATCAGTCTTCTCTCTTACGATTTTCAACAACTCTCTCTTCTCCCAAAACATTCTTAGCTTCTTCATTTGTCCCTCTCTCGCTCCATGCTGAGCTTAAAGGAAGGGGAGCTCCCCAACATTAGGCCTCAGTCTACACACATACACTCACATACACACACACATATGTATGCGTGTGTGTGTGTGTGTGTGTGTGTGTGTGTGTGTGTGTGTGTGTGTGTCTGTATGTGTGTATATATAAGAATATATTCATATATATACATCTATATGCATATATACACATATATACATACATGTGCATATATACAAATATATATATATATATAAATATATATAGAATACGGTCCACAATGGACCGTATCCTGGCGCTTCGAGTCACTGTAGAGCGCCGTCGTGAGTTCAGGCATGGGCTGCTTGCAACTTACATCGACCTCAAGGTGTTTGATACGTTTATCGCGAATCACTCTGGGAGAACCTGAGACTGAGACAAATCCCAACAAGGATTTATATGTGTGTGTATGTGTGTCTCACCAATATATTTCCCCATCTCTTCCCGAAAATCTCCTACAAATTGCGAACTCTTTCAACTTGCAAACAAGACGTGGTTTAGTCAGCGTCGCGCCTGGAGACATCAGATTCTGAAAACGACACTGAGGATAATACCGTTCTGTAATGTTGCAACTAAGGTCATGGCGACCTTGTCAGGATCCAGCTGTGTGGCTTACGCCCTCCTTCGTTTTCCCGAGTCAGTATATAAGGTAGGGAAACCTGA